ATAGGAGTCCGCGAATATGAGTTGCAGCCCCAGCCGAAGGCCACTAATTTAGTCCGTGAAGCGTTGCCTCACGGAGTGAATTACGAAATCGCCGGTCACGGACTGAATTACAATACTACATTTCGTCATTGGGTCGAAGAAGGAAAGGCTCGAGCCGAAGGCGAGCAATATGTTTTTCGTAACGGCGGGGGCTGACTACCGGAATGATAAAAAATATTGGTCGATACATGGCCGTGAAGACCTTTTCTGTTTTGTATGATTACAGAACTCATTTTCGTCAAGAAAATCTGTGGCGGCCGAAATATACTAAAGTTAAAAGTAAATTATGAAAAAATGTGTATATTAAACTTGATGAAACAATAGATTTTTTTATAGAGAATAATGAGTTTTAAGAATGTTAAGAATTAAGAGAGAGTGACTTTAGTCACGTTTTATAGAGTTGAAATAGATTTTAGAAATGTAAACACTGATATGAGTGTTGTGTTTCAGGGGAATAAACGGATTTTTAGGGAAACGACTTTTTTTGAGGAATTGAGAGGAAATTTATTAGTAAGTTGAAAGTAAATCGTGGACAATATGGAAATAATATGGACAATTATGGAAAATATACATTAAACTTGATGAAACAAGGCATTTTTTTAATGAAGGGGGGTAATGAGTTTTGAGAATTGAGGGAATGACTTTGGTCACCATTTCTGAATTTAAAATGAAATTCTACGAACGAAAACATTGAAATGTGAATGTTGTATTCCGGTGGAATAAATGGTTTCTTTAGGAATTGAGAAGAAATTTATTGTTAAGTTAAAAGCAAATTATTTTTTAAAAAATGCATTAAAGTTGATGAAACTTCATAAAGGGGAATAATAAATTTTAACAATTAAGAAGATGACTTCGGTCACGATTTATGAATTTAAAATAGACTTTAGGAGCGTAAGCACTGAAATATGAATGTGACATTTCAGTGGAATGAACGGATGTTTAGCGAAACCTCATATTTTTTTAGGAATCAAATGTAGATTCATTACGAGAGACAAAATTACGAATTACCCTAAATATTAAACTTGATGAAAGACTGACTTTCGGTGGAAGTTTATTTGTAACTAATCGAGACCTTTCTCATGACAACGATTTGGTCACGTTTCGTGAACTTAAAATAGCGTTCACAAACGCAAGCACTGAAACATAACTATTATATTCCAGTGGAATGAATCAATTTTCAGAAGTTCATATTTTTCACAGAAAAAAAAATTCTAGCTTTTGAAAATCTGCAAAAATTCCTAAAATCCAGTGACATTTCCACTACTTCCCAACGATTCAATTCCGAACTTCAAAAATTGGAGATAAACTGACAAAAATAAAGTAATCAATTCCAAAAAATTATAGATTTACCTATGATTTTCAGAAAATCCTAGATGAAAATAAAAAAAAAAATTTAATTCCCAAAAAACTACGCGTAAAAACGAGCCAAAACGAGAGATAAATGTCCCAATAATAAAGAACAAATCACATAGAATAATTTCCCCCCCACACTCTCCCAAGACTGGTGGGTCGGTGTCCACCTGTCCCCACCCCCTCCGCCCCAAAACTCCCCCTAAACACCTTAACATCATCATCACTCCCCAAAATAATCACCCATCGATCACTCTCCCCCGATTGGCCGATCAATACCCCCGATGACTTCGCCGACGTATCCAGCATCATTACCCCCGAAGAAGAGCGCGGAATCGCACCACCTCCCCCCCCCCCCCCC